AAATTAAGTCGACAAATTAAGTTCAAATAACATTACTCTCTATGTATAGGACTTCCATGGAACATCCACTTGATAATTCCGATGTAAAACGTCTTAATATTCCATTTTAAAAGCTTCAATTTCAACTCACATTCTAGCAAATCTAACCTTAGTTCTTGATTGTGTATAAGCATCAAGGTACAATGATGTACCAAGCCTATCACCTAAGAAAGTGAGCCCATCATCATACCCCAGTTAATAATTTGCAAATATATACCCAAAAACCTAGTGATTAAACTTTATCATAGAAGTATGTGTAATTATATGCTTGTTAGTGTCTTTAATCGTAGCCTATTTAGCTTATTTGTTGAGTTTTCCCTTATTGTCATATTCATGGTGTATCCTCATTTACATCAATAGTTTTTTTTTTTTCAGTCATTGATACTTCGTAGCAGAGATAGAGTCAGAATTTTATCTTAATAGTAACCAAATATAAATAATGACATAACCAAATATTTTATGTGCTAAGGTGCATTCGACATTTTAACGTTAATGTCAAATTTTTAGTTTTATGAAACCTATAAAAATTAGTTTTCATACACTGTTGTGAATACTTCAAAACAATTCTAAAAATAAGAGTACTTCAAATCGTCCCAAATAATCGCAAGATTAGAGGTTCAACTCAGGTATGTTGGCGGATCAACTCAAACTTAACCTAAGTTGTAAAACTTTTAACCTTAACCCAACCCTAGCCTGACTTCCAACCCGAAGTACTCAATTTGGATTGGTTCGGGTTCTAATCGGACTCGACATTCACGTCAATTTTGGGCTCAAATTCAGGCATAACACAATAGTTAGACTAACTTAAATTCAAAATAAACTCAATAAAAACCTAAAATACACTTGAATTTGTGTATATATCTATATTTATTTTAGTTTCGTGTTGAGCCCGATTTTAGTAATACAAGTTGGGTTCGGGTTGAACCCGTAAATTTAAAGCATCACGTGTATGACTCGAATTCAATTTGGGTTAAAATTTTTCAACCCAAACCCTATTTTTTAGATTGGGTTTGAGATAAGTTTGGATTAATCCACCCAAATTGTACCCCTACGCTAAGCAAGATAAGTGTCCTTTCATTTTTTATCATATAATGTAATTCGGATTCAGTCTGATGGATCTGAGAATATTTAATTTAAGAGAAAATTCAGTATGAAGGCTGTGGCTTAAAATTTCACCAACCAATTTGAGGGTGCTCGCCACCCGAAAACAAAAACAAACTAATAATGTTTATGGCCTAGTGATCAGGTCATTCACTACAACCACTACATTTTCTTGTACCGTTGCCGCTATCGCCACCGCATAGTTCTCTCGGTATCTAGCTATTGCTGCCACAAGAAACCAACAAGTGGCACAGTAGAGGTTAGATGTGTGAATTGAGTCAATGTCATGTCGTATTAGCGGTGGTCCCCATGCGATGCACTGAATTTTCACTCATTCTCTTCACTCTCCGTCCTCCTTCTCCTTCTTTTTTTTTTTATTGTCATCTTACCATTTAAAAAGTTAAATAAAAATTTGTGAAAATCTAGGGTGATAAAACAATGAAAAGTTAAAGTGGTGAAACTATGTTTTTTTTTAAAAAAATAATAAATTAGTGGTTGGTTTTTAAAAACAAATTAAATGAGTGGCAGTTAAGTAGTGGGATAGTTACCTGAAATATGTGTTAACATATAATTGGTTAAAACCATGTATGATAATTAAATAATTAAAAATTCTAAGAAAAAGAAAAGTGGGAAGGAAGACTTCTCACAACACCTCCAACTTAATTTGATTGTTTTGTAAATATAAAACTAGCGACGATCCAGTCAGATGCATGAAATTTGTATCTCGTCACATTCCATTACCTCTTTCACCATATTTTTCTTTCTCCTACCCCATCATTTACAGAGTAATGAAATTAGACAAATAATTATAAAAATTTTGGATGATAAAAAGGAAAAAAAAATTAAATGAGAAGTTATTAATTTGTGAAGGAGTAGTTATCTCGCATGGTGAAATATAATTGGATTGAATGCAATAAAATAAATCAAAATTCTAAAAATTGAGGTAATAGGTGGGGAAGGCTTTCCAAAGTCTTTCTTACCTAATTTGTTTGCTATATAATATAGTATAAATTGATTTCGATCATGTCAATTAGATTCGTGTTAATTACTAAGTTAATTTTTATGATGCACAAAAATGAGTTTATGAAAAATCAATCAAGAATGAAGTGTAGAGGGCTACACACAAGAAAACATAGAAATTAGTTAGTTCAGTTTGGGTGACCTACTCTATTGAGAATGACTACGGTGACCGAAGATTCTTATTACTTAAGAGGTGTAATGTGTTGAGAATTGAGATGTGTGTGATGTCCCCCATGTGTAGGCGGGACTTACGATTTATAGGCAAACAAAGTTGGCTCTGAGGGGATCTGATTCAGACGCTATCCTCACAAGGAGCGGAGTGATGCCGTGAGTCTCGCCTTGTATTTGTAATGGGCGGCATGATACATAGGTGATTCATTGAAACTCGCTCTACCTTGTAACAAGCGAGGTAATATTGCGAGGTTGGCGATATATCCCTAATGACTGTATACCCATGATTTCTTCTCCTCAAATGGAGCCTCTCAAGTGCGTTGATGATGGATTGCGCCTCTTAAGAAAGTGGGCTTGGCCACATACCAATTGTGACTGGACTTTTGTTATTCTACATTTGTGGTCTGGGCTCAATTTGTATCTTTGAACTGGACTTGGTCTGTATTTCTAATCTGAGTCTAGTCTGCATCTATAATATAGGTCTTGTCTGGACCAAACCATCAAATTTGACCCTATTAATTACTTGTGTTAGTTGCCATGACATTAACAGTTCTATCTATTAATCGTGTTATGTGTTGAAAGACAAATATATCTCGTGGACTAGAAATTCAGGATTATGACTTCTCTTTCTATCAAACCTAGCATCCGATCTTCCTCAAAAATTAAAATTTTGACATATCCACGTACTAAGAAAACCAGATACAACGAAATATAATCAAAGAATAGAAAAAAAAATAGACACACTTCATACACTTCCAATTAAATAAATTTTTGATTTTAAATTTTATTTTAGAGGAGGGACTACTCCTTTTTTTAATTTTTTTTAATTCTGAGAATGTAAAATATAAATAAAATAATTTTTAAAATTTCCAAATTAACAATGCTATAGTAAAAAATATGTTCTAAAATCATTCCATCCACATGCATCGTTTGGTGTTGGGGACACGCCAATGTGGTCCCACATATGCAACTAAATAGTGTGGAACCACCTTATTTATGTGGACTCAATTAGCATGCCCCACTCACCAATAGGGAAAATCTTCACCCATATGAGAGTGAGAGTAAACAAAGGAGATGCTGGCCTCACATTGATCTTCCAATTTTGGAAGGAGATATAGCAAATAGATGGCTTAGAATCTAATTTCCCTTCTTTTCATTTTTAGTTGTTACTTAAATTTCAGATATTCGTATTCTCTCACAAGTTATACATTATGGAAATCCGTATTCGCTCACAAATTATATATCTCAGGTCGATTAAGACGTTTCTGGCAAAACTTTTACTAACCATTGATAGAAGGCCTATAAGTACATAGAATGAGCTCTAATTTGTGTAGCATGTATCATAGATGGATCATACATGAAAAGCACACATTTAATGGCCTTTGGTTTAAAAGAATCCCCAAAAATTGAAATTAAAAAAAGGGGTTAAAGTATTTGGAAGTTTACTATTAATGAAATCTTGCTTAATAATTTGGAACTTGTTTTGAACAACAACATCGACTTAATTCAATCGCAATTATTTTGAGTTCGAGTCACAGGACAACCTCTCTATATATGAGGAAAATGTTACCTACGTCTAACCCTCCCTAAATGGTTGGATTCGACAATTTTTGAGAGTCTCGTACACCTAACTATTTTTTTATTGTATTACTGTTATTTGGAGTTGATTTGCACATGTATTACAAAACAACACATCCAAATAAAATCAGTGCCCATGACCAGGAGGTTGTGATTAGTTATTTGGTGTGTGTGTGGGTTGGGGGGGGGGGGTGTTAAACCATCCTATGGGCAAAGGTAGGGCAATATTTGCACGAGCATGGCATGAGGAGTAGTTGTAGTTTCTATATTTAGAGCTTTATTATAGAAGGACTTGGCTAACACTAGCTTATTCTCCACCACTTGTTCCTCATCTCCTTTCTCACCCAAAAGAATCTCGAAAGCTCTCTCTAGAGCAGATCTGCATGTTCTTCAAACTTCCTCCATAGCATGAAAACAAAAAAAAACCTAGAAATTGTATGTCCATATAAATTAAATTCGTCTCAGCTTCCGAATATTTCTTTAGAGTTCCAAAAAAGGGTTAGAGTCAAAAGTTACGACTCAATCAAATCAAGTAATGACATCAATTTACTATTCAGTGGGTCGACTAAGATCAATCCCATGTTTTTTAAACCTCATTGACTCGTAACTTTCTCAAATGCTTTGGTACCTTAGACTTATTCCTATTTTATATATATATATAGTGCTATTAACTGCCCCATTATTCTTGTAAACAGAATTCAACTTCCTTAAAGTTCCAAAGCATTGTCCCATAGGTTATACTATATATAGATGCAATCTATTACCTAACAATTCCTTGTAAACAGAATTCAGCTAATCGTTACTATATTTAACCTCCATCTATTTTCTGTTGGTTTAGGAGCCATGGGAGTTGTGTTCTTACAAAACAATGCTCTATACCTCTTTCTCTCTCAGACCAGGGAAATTCTTTAGCCCTGCCTCAGGGCAAGATTTTTCATCCCTGGCCCATTCCTCTCCTCCATCCTTGAAATAGATTCTATTCAATAGTGTCAAGATTGAAATGAATTTGAAAATCGATGATACATTTCAATAATTTCGCGTTTTTGATTCATATCCTATCATTTCAATTTATGTGAAGGACAGGAAAAAAAATGGAGAAGAAAGGGACAATCTTGTTGCAAAGGTATGAGCTTGGGAGATTGTTAGGTCAAGGAACATTTGCAAAAGTTTACTATGGCCGGAACCTAAAAACTGGCCAGAGTGTTGCAGTCAAGATCATCGACAAAGAAAAGGTCATGAGGGTTGGTTTAATCGATCAAATCAAACGAGAAATCTCTGTAATGAGGCTTGTTAAACATCCCAATGTTGTTCAACTCTATGAGGTCATGGCAAGCAAGACCAAGATATATTTTGCAATGGAGTATGTGAGAGGTGGTGAGTTATTCAATAAGGTTGCCAAAGGTAGGCTAAAGGAAGATGCTGCAAGAAAGTACTTCCAACAATTGATTGCAGCTGTTGATTTCTGTCATAGTCGAGGCGTATATCACCGTGATCTCAAACCAGAGAATCTCCTCCTTGATGAATCCGAAAATCTCAAGGTTTCGGATTTTGGATTGAGTGCTTTGTTTGAATCAAAGAGGCAAGATGGTCTCTTACATACAACATGTGGTACACCAGCCTATGTTGCACCAGAAGTGATTAACAAGAGAGGATATGATGGAGAAAAGACTGATATTTGGTCTTGTGGTGTCATTCTCTTTGTACTTTTAGCTGGTTATCTTCCATTTCATGACACTAATCTAATGGAAATGTATAGGAAAATAAGCAAAGGTGAATTTAGGTGCCCACAATGGTTCCCTCCAGAGGTGAAAAAGCTTCTTTCAAGAATTCTTGATCCCAATCCATGCTCGAGAATAACTGTGGCGAAGCTCATGGAAAATCCTTGGTTTAAGAAGGGATTCAAACAGATTGAAACCCCAATTCCCAATCAAGATGAGGATGTCTCTCCGCGAAGCATTTTTGATCTCGAAAATGTCATTGAAGTGGAGCAGGAAGGTTGTTCCAAGAAGAAAGAGGAGGAAACAAGTAGTTCAATGAAACCAACTTGCCTAAATGCATTTGACATCATATCACTCTCACCAGGTTTTGATCTTTCTGGTTTGTTTGAGAAAGACATGAATCACAAATCGGAGGCTAGATTCACAACTCAAAAGTCTCCATCAGCAATCGTGTCGAAATTGGAAGAAGTGGCAATGATGGAGAGTTTCAAGGTGGAGAAGAAAGATGGGATGGTGAAATTGCAAGGCAGCAAGGGAGGTAGAAAAGGGCAGCTGGCCATTGATGCAGAGATATTCGAGGTCACGCCTTCGTTTCATGTTGTGGAGGTGAAGAAGAGGGCTGGTGACACAATGGAGTATAGGAAGTTCTGTGATCAAGAATTGAAGCCTTCTCTAAAAGACATAGTATGGGCTTGGCAAGGTTGTGAGCAACAACATGATTAGCCACAACACAGCATAGGTTCATTTTCCTCAACAATCTGATGGATTTTAATGGCTTTGTTCTCTTCCATACCATCTCTTTTACTTTCTTTGGTTTACTTTTTCTTTGTTGATTTAGTGATCTTCCAAGGCTCAAATAAGTGAAATAATACTTAGTGCAAAGTAGAAATGATGCTAAGGTAATATATAACTCGTATTCAAACTGTTTATATATGTAATTTGCTGTTTTTGAAAAGAAAAAAATGGTTAAACAATCGTTCTTTTCAAGTAAGAAAACTTGATATTCTTGTGCATTTAACTTGCTATATTCTGCTTTTCTATTCAGATTGTCTTAAATTATGCATTTTCATCTCAAAGATTTGACACTCGAGATTCCCTAACAAGTAGATACTTCTGCAGAAGCATAATCAATTTTCTAGTGAAATACATTACGAGATGTTTTTCTATACTTTCCGCATTCAGTTCTAGCTATTTCTGCACCTTTTGATCGACCTGAACAACTTATACGGATCCCAACCCACTTACTTCTTATGTCAAAAGTCAAAAACAGGCAACTCCAAATCAGAGATTACAATTTAGATACATTCTAACCTCTACATTCCATTCTTCTTCATATAGGGAAAATCTCGAGCAAAGGCTCAGAGTAAGTTGGTTCACAACTTCTCAATCGCTACTTGTTTACTTGAATTGAGAACTCCTCGAGGTTCGTTAATGGGTCTCCTAGGAATATCCTTAGTCCTGGGGGCATCTTCAATGCATCGTATATGATGAGAAGTTTAGAAAGGAGAAGTCCTTGCTTAGCATCAAATGCGAGCCTAACCATAGCAGGCATCAAGGTGTTTCTAATTGGTTGGGTTCAAAACAAAACAATGACAGATTACCTGAAAAGTTGACTGAATTATTGTCATTGACACTTTTAAGCATGCATTAAGCACACATGTTTAACTTGAAACGGCTTTTTTGTGTTTTGAATATCGCGTTAATTGTTTTAGAGCACACATTTCTATCTCATTTCATTTTGACATCCAATCACAAATGTATGGTTGTGGGAGAGTGAGTTCTCAATTTGTGATTTTGACAATTCACGGTCTCTAGAAACTGAGTCACTATACGTGTCATGTCAATTTATAGTTCCCATAGAAGAAGGTAATGAACAACCCATGTGAAAAGGAAAGCCCTCACTAGGCTACCAACAATATTAATCCCAGTTTCAGCCATTCATTCCAAGTTATTGAAGTTCTTAATAGTATGAAAAAGAAAAATAAAACCTTAGAGACTATGGAACCTTGGCAACAAAAACTTCAAAATTGGATCACCCCACCTTTTATAATGCAAGAGAATCTATTTGATTATGAACCTAACAATATCATCTAAAGATAGCATACTAATACTAGTATATGTAAGAATGGAGCAATAGAGAGGGTCTGATTCAATTTACTTTTGGCAACGAACAAAATATTGGCGACCAAACGAGAAGATTTTTTGTGAGGACATTATTATCTCCTATTGTGCACTTTTGGCAGTAAAGTTTTTGTTGCCGCTAAAAACTTTCACGACATGCATTCATCACTGAAAATGTTTAGCGATCGTATTTTTACTTTTTGTAATGAGTTAGTTCATCACTAAGATACAAATTTGTTGTAGTGTACGATACTACCATTTGTTTATATTGTCATCCACAACTTGGGTGCAAACTAATTAAACGGAATCATTAGGGGTTCTTTGTTCGCAAAAAGTGTTCGAGATTGCTTCAAACAACTTGTTCAAACTTCGCCTGTTAAATTTTTTCTAAACTAGAGCTCGGATTGGCTCATCTGATCAAACCCAATGAGATCGAACCTAAACTTGAGTTCATGCTCATGTTAAAAATTAAGCTTGGTTCACACACACACATAACCTTTTTTTTTTTTAACCAGTACACGGACACAACCTAAAGGTAGACAAGTTAGCCATGAACCGGTCCTAAGTTTAAGTCTTCTCTTCATGCCACCAAATACTAGATACTTGCTTCATACATCTTGGATGAGAGATCTACCCCAGAAAGATTAGTTAATATAGACGACTTGGATACCTCCAAATTACAAAGATATAGGTATATTACATATTGACCATGGTTAAAATTAGTGGCCTAGGGCTAATACCCTTTACATTCCATGTAAACCACAAGTCCCATGCAACTTGGCTAAGTCAAAGGAGACGTTTCCGAGTCGGCATCGTCATCGAATTGGACAGTACTATTTTGTCCGTGTCTTAATATGGGCTGAATCTCTCATCACACTCAACCTCTTTTTCTGCTAATGTTTCGTGTTGATCGTCTATCCTATAAGATGATGTTGGATATCACAACCTTAAATAATGAGATTAACCCACTGCAAGGATAGTATACGTGTATACCTCGATCTTGGACAATGAAATTGACCCACTACTTGAATAATTTCTATTTTTGGTATATCTATTTAATATTATAGTTAAAAAATTAAATTCTCAACTTATAATAATAAAATAACGGTTAAAGCTTATTAAATTTTTATCTATTTTGATCAATAGTTCAGCATTCACCCTATTTTTTTTCAGCTCGAAATCATTATTTTTTCTCGGTCAAACTTCAATTTACTCCCTTGTACTATACCTCAAATGCACATAACCTCCTTGAGATTTAAAAATGTTCACATAACCCTCATTAGTTTATGGACTAAAATGCACCATTAACTCCGTTATTATTACTATTAAATGACTTTAATACCCCTATGTCCTTTTTATCTCCTTATCTTCTTCTTTGCAAACATCAACTACACCACCATTGCTAACCACACTAAAGCCACCATCTACAGTCGTTGTATTAATCAACAATACAATCAAGCCATGAAAATCACCAACAACATTCAAATGAACAACCCTGCCACATTAAGAAATTAAAAATCAAAAATCAAAAATCAAAATCTTTCTTAAATCCACATCAAAGTCAAACAAAGACCCATTTCACAAACATCTACCTAATCAACCATTACCCAAATACCACCAGCACATTTCACTACCACCACTTCTCATGAACAATTTGAATCAAAATTAAAATTGATACGGACGAAACTCAAGGCCAAGGCTTTGATGGCCCAGAAGCCTGACCAGCCCAAGAGGTCCAAAGCAAAGAAGGAGAACTCAGCATCGACAGAAGGCCTATAACCCAACAATCTAGGCCCAGCCCAAACCGTAAAGCGGTTCAAAGGTTGAAAGACCAGTTTAAGCTAATTCTGGATCGCCCGAGGGGACCACACACCCTAAGGATCTAGGGGATCACTCTTGACACCTACGACAATCTCAAAGAAGGTGGAGCTCCAAGTTACCAGAGATCGTGGCAACGGCAGCGCCGGATGAACAGAGGCACCGAATGAACAATGATCGTGATGACAGAAGAAGCATGAAAGGGCAAAGAAAAGGACTAGAGAGATCAATACTAAGGGAAGGACAGCTGAAGACCCTAGGTCAGACTCTAATATAAATAGAGAACGATAACCTGGCGAGAGGAGGAGCTTCATCTTCCTGAACCAGTAAGCATTCAAGAAGCCTAGAAAAGAAAGCCAAGAGAGAATAGCTAGACACTTACCCTTTGTAAGAGGACTGTGGGTCCCCAATTTTAGGGGGAGCATCTTTGATCGATTAGTATATAAACCCGGTAAGCAAGAGACTCCATTGATAGTGGACGTAGCCTTAGTCCATCGGCTAAGGTGAACCACTTATATTCCCTGTCTAACTAATTACGAAAGGCTAATCCATAACCTGCAAAACCTACTCAGAACATCACCCCCACCATAGTTGGGCTTGGGCCATAAATTCTTAGCACCATAAGTTGGCGCCTTCTGTGGGAAACGTTTTCATCGTTCTTCTGAACTTTTCATCTACTTGATGGTTTCAACTCGGAACATGAGTAAAGCTCCAGCCAATCCCCAGGTCCAGCAAAACTAGCCAAAAAACTTCCCTGTCCTAGAGGTGGACGCCGAAGATCGTCCTCCAGCAGCAAACTTCCCACCGCTCAACGAACTAGAAATCTACCATCGAACTACGATACAGCTGATGAAGCAGAACCAGGAGCTGATGGAATGGATACAGACACATCAGCTCCCTCGGTTCCCACCAGCTCGACAAGAACCTCCTCCACCCCAAGTCGAGCACGACGCCCCTCCTCAGGAGTGCCAAGCTCCCCCGAACGGAATAATAGAACTCCATGAGCACAGCCATTTTGGGGACAACCACCAAAGAGATCGCCCGGAAGAAGGTGGCAAAGATGAAGCCCACAGTAGGGCCAAGGCCATTTATCGGGAGGATAGAACCCATCCCCTTCAGGATGCAGTGGATCCTTTGCTAGAACAAAAACTTCGCAAGCTCCAGTGAGAAGTGGGCCACATGAAGGAGGCGGTCAACGGAAGGACCCCCGACACTATGGACGTCTTGGTCCAGCAAACTGAGTCGTCATTTGCCCCCGAGGTCCTCCATTTTTCCCTTCCCCAAAAGTTCTGAACGCCATTGATAGAAACGTTCGACGGAACCAAGGACCTCGTCGATCACCTGAACTCCTACAAAAACCAAATGGAGCTTCAGGGTTATTCAGATCCAATCCACTGTCAGGCTTTCGCTATCACCCTCAAGGGATCGGCGATAGCCTAGTTCAATAGGTTGCAACCCGCATCAATTTCCTCATTCAGGGAATTATCCATACAATTTGTATCCTACTTTATATAGGCCATAATGTACAGAAAGTCATCCTACCATTTATTAAGTGTCAAACAGGGACCCACTGAGTCCCTCCAGAGCTACATTCAACGCTTCAACCAGGAACATCTCAAAGTGAAAAGCGTGGACGAAAAATTTGCTTTGACTACCTTCATGTGTGGGCTCGAGATTCAATCCAAGGATCTCCTCTTTTCGATAACAAAGAACCCTCAGGCAACCATGGCCGAAATGATGGCGAAAATCGAGAAATATATCAATGGCAAAGAGGCCCTCCGCTT